CCTTTGGGCGATGCTTCATTAACACTCACCAGTTAACCAACGTTAATCCTAACCTTGCTTGCTTGTTCATTAAGCAAATAAACGTGGCTTTTACCAAAGCTCCACAATTGTTACCTTTTACCAAGACATTAACTACACTTGTTGCTTTTATCAAGGCGCTTTAAACAAAGGAAATAAAGACAATATTTTTGTTTAACGATTAATTTTATTTAATAAAAATAATTAGTTAACCCTGGAGCATAAAATACCGAATCCCTAATTAATGATTTTATCTACCCAATCATGTATTCAGCAAAAACAGAGATTGGGATACACGAGAAAAATATAAAAAAGACCTTGGAATGTATATTTATAAGTTTTTTTTGTAAGATTTTATATTTTATTAGCCTTTAAAGCAATTTTACTTGCGTAATTTTTGACTTAATGGCAGCGAATTTGACGTAATAGTTATGCAATTTTGGTGACAAACAACATTGTTAGTATCATTAAAAGACTCAATAGGTTGGCTAAGAAGGTGTAAAATACTTTATGCTTTTATGTGGTTATTACTTTATAGGGTATCTGTTAATAAGTTTTATGAAAAAAAAAAAAATTCAATACTTATAACAAGGAACAATTGGATACTTGGCCACTAATACTTTGAGTGAACCAGATTTGAGTATATCCAGCTATCAGATGTTTTTTGTTAGCACTAGGTTGATAAAACCAACGAAAATAAAATACATTAAAGTCGATTTGAGTAGCTGAAAATCTAAAGATAAAATTGTCTTTAGACTACAAATTCGTCTTTAGTCTTAATCGATTGATGGATGAAACACAAAAGTTGACCCTAGTCACAAAAGTCAATAAAGTAGAACTATTTTTGCCATTATTAATAACTTCTTCATTCTCTCCTTCTTCGCCATCATCATCTTCATCTCTTTTTATTAACTCATTCCTGAATTGCATCTATCGTTTTCTTCTTAGGATTTGTTTTCTTTGGTAGAAGCTTTTGATGGTGGAGTCAGCAATACCTTTTCCTTTTCCGTACAACGCGCTGATTTCAGTTGACATTTTACCACTGCTACTAAATGAAATCCGAGACCAGCTCAACTTTTTTTATCAAATAAAGATTTAAGATTCTTCCACAACTTTATTATTTATTTTTTGGCTTTTCCTGGCCTTATTGTATTAATTATTTTATGATCACGAGTCACTATACATGAGAAATTAATTGAATTGGTTAAAGGAAATAAAAAGCAGGCGATAGCATCGACTTGTGTAGAAACATTTAAAAAAAATATTCAAAACATGTAAATTTACAACAACCACCATTTAAAAAATAAAAAAAAATTTTATTAATTATAAGCAAAGTATATTACAAATTTAGTTTATTTAATTGCAAGTTCCTAAATTATATTTATTACAAATTTTAATCATAAGCTATTATAATAAATATTTTAATTTTATTGGCTGGTGATTTTTTTGCCAGATTGTTCAGCTTTAGGAATTTTAACCTCAAGAACACCGTTCTCGTATTTAGCAACGACATCATCAGCTTTCACATTACGTGGAAGCGAAAGTGCACGAGAGAAAGAACCCCATCGGCGTTCTTGAATATGAGTTGTTCCTTCTTCTGATTTTTTTTCCTCTTTAGTTTCACCAGAAATATAGAGTATATTGTCCCGAATATCAATATTAATATCCT